CCTTCAGTCTCTACAGGAATCACTTGAAACTGCCTTCTATTTAGTGATGGTTTGGTTCGAACTAGATAACACAATGAGGACATCTGTTCAACCAGACAGGATTCAACTGTAACTCTTCTCAATACATTGAAAAGAAGCAATGGGCCTCCCTGGTGGCACAAGGGGTTCGGATGCAACCTATGAGGCTGTCTGCATTCTTTGCAGCCTAAGTTCTATCCCTCGGCCAGGGAGCAACCTACATGGCGCAGCAGACCTCTCCTGACTGGCCCTCTACTCCCCTCAGCAGTGTACTTCAGTCAGTCTGCCTTTCTATTCCCCACTCTGTCTGGTGAATCCTCTCACCCCCCACCCCCACACCTCTGGCTTGTACCCCAGCTCTTGTATACATAAATAAATAAATCTTTAAAAAAACAAGCAGTCAGTACCTCCTACCCCCAAGTTGTGGATTGCCTGCTCTTGGAGACCTTGTGTCTTCATATCTCATGGAGAAGTACATTAGCTGAGGGGCCAGGCTTACGCATACACTAAGTCAGTGAGACTTTATTTCTTATTTTTAGGTAAGCCATAATGTATAGAGATGTGAAAATGCTTTGTAGACACCCAGCTGATCATTTTGTAAATCCCTGTAATATCTTGCCTTGGAGGTAACCAGTGTAACCAATGCCTTTTCACTATCAACACTTGCATGGTCAACCAACAAGCCAAATTCAAAGGGTAAAGCCCGGTGTTTTATCTGCTTTCTTCACAAATAAAACCTGCTTCTCCTTCTCCCTCATCTCAGGAAATGGCATGTCTATTTACCTAGTTGCTCAAGTTGAAAATCTCAGTCATCTTTACCTCTCTCATTCTGTCATGCTCCTCATTTAATCCATTAGCAAGTGCTGTCATCTCTGCTTTCAGATTATGTCCTGAATCCAACTAGTTTTCTCCTCTTCCATTATTACCTCTCTGTTCTAAACCCCATCGTCTCTAGCATCGTCTATTGCGATAGACAGTGAGTTGCTCTCTTTACTCTTGGCTGCCTTCAGTCTGTTCTCCATCCCAGAAAATCTTTTAAAATCACAAGTCATATCATGTCTCTGCAATTCAAGTTCTCCAACATACTATGAGTGAGGTCTAATTTCCTTACATGACCTTCTGGCCTGGCCCTTGTTTGCTTTTCAAAATTCATCTCCTGTCATCCTGCCCCTTTTCATTAATGGTCCCAGTACACTGGCTTTTTGCTGTTAGGCAGAACCATTGCAGGCTTATTTCCCTCATTTCAGTCTGGTCTGAGCTCAGGGGGGCCTTTCCTGGCTTCCCTCTCAAAATAACATGCACGAAAACTCCACTGCCACCACTTTGTCTTTCCGTCTTCTCCTGTTCAACTTTTGTTTATCACACTGCTAGTTAACATTTTACTGTATGTTGCTCATTTATTGTCCATATCCTCCACTCGATTGAGAGCCCCTCTCGGGCAGGGTCATGCCTGTATTCTCCGCTCTGCCTCCATGTCCTAAAACAGTACTCAGTGCTTAATCAATGCCCAATAAGTATTTAATTGAACGAATGAATAAATGAATCTTCATCTTACCAATTGAAGTGCCAAGGATAGGCACCAACATTAAAAGAAAAGAGTGCCAAGGGCAAATCTTTGGAGACAGAAGAATTTTATTCCTAAATCTTAACTTGATGTAAGCAAACGTAGTATATCTTGGGCAAGGAAGGTGTCAAGCTGGGCTTATCTCTCTGAATCACCTATAAGAATATTTTCAAATCACAAACCTGAGCACATACAAAAAACCTGAACAGATGTGATGAATCAGCCTCTCAGCCCGAGGGGGTGCTGTCTCCTGTTATCCTGACACATTCATTTAAACGGGGTTCAAACCAGGATCTCCATTCCAGGGAACTGCCGAGAGCACCAGCGCCTCTGAGCTATGACAAAGCACAGCTCCATGAACCCTGGGAATACGCGTGGGCTGCTGTGGCTCTTCTCAGAAGTCCAGGCATGATTCTTAAGAAAACAGTCAGATGCTGGAGAGTGACCTCTTTTATTAGTTTCATCATCTTACCCACAGAGAGACCATAGTGTTTGTCCACAGCCTGAAACACTCAAAGGCCGTGGTGTTGAAAAGAGGGTGAGCCTTTAGGTCTCTTTGTCGCCATTAATCCTGGTCCCGCTGCTCTCTCCATTTTGCATCAGAAAAGCTTTCTTGTATTTTTCTTTTAAAGATGTGGAGAAAACAGCTGTGTGGGATTTGAGAATGGGATTTTAATGGTCACTGAAGATGCACAAAAGCTTTGCTGTGATAGTGAAGTGTTCTGGGGGCAATTGACTCCTTTGTCTGGGGCCTCAAAACAAGCTGGCTGCTCAGGGAGAAAAGGGAACCGACTGGAACGTGTGATTTGAGGTCTCTTCAGGCCAGATCTTGAGCACATTGCAAATAGCTGTTTTCAGGCTCTTCGTGACATTTTAGAATCCCTTTTAGTGTTTAGCTCATTTTTACCTTGTGAAAGAAACTAATTTGGAAGGTACTTGGTGTGAATTATTTCTGTAGGTCTTCTTTTCGGAAGGAAAATGGAAACTGTGAGGGACAATCTGAGTTTGTTTATGTGAACAGGCCTTTCACTGTGAGAAAGAAGAGCTGGTACCCTCTTTCCTCAGGGCGGCCCAATGGGCATTTCGCAGCCCTTTGTTCAATTGAGAGATTGTAACAGATGTGGGATTTGGTCAGACTTCTCAAAATGTAAACTTGAAAAGACTTTGGAGGGTTTAAATAGTTCTAAGAAGGAGTGGACACCAGGGTAGCAGGAGCCCATCCAGTTACTCTTTCCAGTGAGATTCGGGTCTAGTCTTGACCACTCACAGAGGAGTTATTTTTCTGCCAGAAAAATCATGAAGGCTCAGACCCTGCTGTTTGGATGAGCCATGCCTGATGGGCTTTGGGATCACTGTCATCATTTGGGCACCCCCCTCGAGGAGAACAAGCATCTTGACAACAGCTGCTCTCCAGATGGAAATGGTGTGGGCTATTAGGGGCTGGGGACAGCTCTGGTTTTAGTTACTTTCTGCCAGTCTTCGTGGTAGGTTGGCTCAGTAGAGCCATGAAGGGATTATTCTCTCATTTACTGGCCTGATTTAGGCACCAGGATAGTCAGGTGGGACACAAGATAAAAAGTCATGAATTCCTAGTTCATAATTCACCCCAGCATGTCACAGGAGATAGGCCGAAACCACAGTGATTTTGGAAACTGTTATCAAGTAGGGCTGCACTTAGAGAATAAGTGTAGAATTATAGGTTCTGTCAGCCACAGAGCTATGCATCATACTCATTAGAATGTTGTTTGCCAAGAAAGCAAGAGTTTGGTTCGCTTTTTTTTTTTTAATACCATAAATTATATAAAATATATAATAAAAGAAAGGCTAAATAATATGACAGAAATATTATGAAAGAAACTCCAAACAATATTAAAAAGCATTAAGATTTATATTTTAAGGTAGATGTTATTAATTGTATTTATTTGTAGAATAATATTTGAAATGTGGCATAGTTTGTCTACTATGATTTTAAAAGTTTATTTTTTATTAAAGAATAATGTAAAGATATTTCTATTACTGGTAATAGGGAACTTTGCCATCTTTAACCCTAAAAGTATTTATGTAGATTGCATTTGTAGGATAGGATAAAAACAAATACCCAAGAGATACAACAGCTAACTTGATTGTGTGTTATTTTGTTTTCTGTTTCTTGGCAACATAAGTACAAAAGAGAATGTGTTTATTCTAAGTAAATTCCCTTAGTATCTCACAGAAAATCCTTGGCAAAGTTTTGATTTGCTGTTCAGTGTGAAATTTTGTAAAATGACTTTTTTTGCCCTTAATGCATAGCGCTTGATCTCACTGTAGGTGTATTTCATAGGCTAGCTCTCGGAACTTGGCCAAATTATTACACATCCCTAAGTCTCTGTGTCTGTAAAATGGAGCTAACAATAGCATCTCACTCTTTAGGGCTGTGCTTAGGAATAAATAAGAAAGTATGTGAAGCTTTTGGCACACTGTCTAGTGGATTGTAAGTACTCAACAAATGTTAACTATTAGAAAGGTTATTTTGATGGTTATGATGATAATATTTGAATTTTAATCTAGGGAGCCCAACTCAATATATTTATTTCATATTCATACCCCAAAATAAGGTGTAAGTCCACAATTAACTAATAATACTAGTAATATAATCAGAAACATAGTTATTAATTTCCTTGTAGTTTATCCTTTCAAAAGACATTTACCAGGGTTTACTCTTTGTAACATTAAATTTATTACAAGTGCTATTTTGGGCAGCTTATCTATTAAATATCTTCTCTATCACCCTCCCTTAGTCACTAGAGACTGAGGTTTTCAAAACAGTCTCTGGTCCTATTTCCTCTCCTTTCAATGACTCTTTTACCTGTAGAATAAAATTCAAATGCCAGCTTTCAAGAATCTTGTCAATTTATATACAACCTACCTTTCTTTCCTCTCCTCCCATATGTCACATATGAGTCTTTATGACCTGCCCCCTTTCATTATCTGGGAAGACCCTACTCATCTTTTAAGGCTCGAAGCAAATGTGACCTCCTCTAGGAAGGCTTCTGGGATGTCCCATGTCAGAATTAATAGACTCAGCACCTTCTCTGTTCCTACAGCATTAGGCCTTTGTTCAATGAATGGTTTTCACCTTTGTAATTCTTCTGACAGCCCTGTGAAGTATGGAGAGTAAGTACTTGTGCTCTAAAAATCATTAGAACCACTGCTCCCTGTTCCCAGGGAGTTCCTGGCCCAGAAAGGAAGGACCTATACATACCTTGAACAGTGGGGATCCTGGAAAAGGGCCTTGAACAGAGGACCCAGAGTAGGGTGTGTTCTGTCCTGGGGAGGTTTACATTGGGCGTGGTGGTGCTTACTTTCATTTTTAGCACTCACATTGTTTTTTTTGGGCCTCTGTCCCCAAACTGACCAAATGGTTTCCCCCTTTGGCTAGTCAGTTGCAGGGCTGGGACATATTATGATGGAACACAAGAACGCTGCATTTTATGTCCAAATGGAACCTTCCAAAATGAGGAAGGACAAATCACATGTGAACCATGCCCAAGACCAGAAAATCCTGGGGTCCCGAAGACTCCAGAAGCTTGGAATATATCTGAATGTGGAGGTAAGGATGGCACCTACCCCTTCTTACTTTTCCTGTCCCAATATCATTGTCTGGGCAGAAGGCCCAAGTGGCATTTCAAAGACTTCAGACAAAGTACCATGGCTGCCTATGTACAGGGACTATATGGCATTCGTCTTTGGCCTTGTAGTCCCTAGTTCTGTGCCTGGTACATGCTGCACTGATGCCTACTTGAGTAAATTAAAAAAAAAAAATCTGATAGACTACGTTGGCAAGAAGTATACAAGTCACAATTGCATGCTTTATTCACTGTAAATAAATATGTGTGATATCCAGTGACCTCCTATTGACTAGAGACTATCTACCAAGTGTGAAAATGAAAAAGCAGGTCTGATTATTTTTCTAGATTTGATGTCAAATTCATAGCTTATTGATTTTTTAAAAAAGGATTATTTTGTTAAAACTAGGAACTCCTCTGTGAACAGTTTCTGATCGTCTCATAAAATGTTAACCTGGAGCCAAACTCAGGTTCTGTGAATTTTTTTTTACTATTTAATTTGTGAATAAATGTCTTCCCTTTTATTAATGGAAGAAGGACCACTTGACACTGGGTGGGCTCAAATGGAGAAGTGATCTCTGGGGGTTCTAAGTCACTGTCTCCACAGAGTGTAAACACTGCAGTGGCCTTCAAGCCCCTTCTTCTAGTAACTTGCAGGACCAGCTTTTGTTCCCACCCAAATGACTCCAGACTCACCTGCAGAATTTTGCCTGGTTTAAAAATCAACTTTTCAAATTGACTGTGTGACTCCTAGCCTGTCTTCGACCTAATATGAAACCCTAGAACTAACGGCAAGGTTGAGAAGGGGGGGTCTTTTGGGCATCTGTTCACCCTGTATATGATCTTATCAAGATATACTTATGTTATTAAGAATATTTGGAACATAGTAATTGCTTATATTTAGTTAACACATACCTATTCCAGGCATCATGCTAAGCGTACTACATGAATTATTCACATGATTATATCTTTACAACAACTTTATGAGGTTCAATTGACTCACTTAAGGCCAAGCAGCCAAGGAGTGGACGTATTAGAATCAGCTGAGGTTTGACAGACACCAGACTCCTCTTTTTGTGTGTATTCATTTATTGCCTTATAGCTGTAACTTAGGGGTAGAAAGAAGACCATGAAAATTAATAAAGATAATTAGGAACAAAGGAGACACAAGATTTTTATAGCATCTTGGTATGGAACTGGTTCTTCTAGAATTTTGTTTATTGACGTGCTTCTTATCCTTAAGTTAAAAATAATAATAATATAAGGTGCTAAAAGTAAATTCCCTTAGGTCCCACTGTCAACATGGATTGGATTGATTGGGTTTAGTAGATGAATTAAGGGATGACAGAACATATTGCATGGGGATATGACTTAGTAATATAATTGGTAAAGCAGGGGAGATAACTTTATATCCCTTGAATATAATCATCAAGGTGATGTGCTCCAAAAATAATTAGAACATGGGCCTCCCCGGTGGCGCAGCGGTTGAGCGCTGGGTTGCGAAGCTGCCCGCAGCCTCTGTGGCGCCGGTTCGATCCCCGGCTGCTCCCCGGCCACTGGAGGAGGGTCCCACATGGTGCACAGACCTCTCCTGCCGCCCGCTGCTCCCCTCAGCAGTGTACTTCGGTCCTTCTGCCTGCTCTGCTCCCCGCTCTGGCTCTGGTGAATTCTCTCACCCTCCCGCGCTTCTGACTGTACCCAGTGCATGTATAAACAAAACAAACAAACAAACAAATAAATAAGTAAAAACATGCGTAAAAAAAAAAATAATTAGAACCATGTTCTTCTGGGTCAAATTACCAGGTTGATTTCAGAGCAGAGAGCCCTGTCTCTGGGAGACCCTGCATGGCAGGGGCTGCTGGGTAAGTGTCCTAAGCCTGAAGCATTCCCAGGCCTGCCCCACACTTTGGAACACTCACTCCCTGGTTTCCATTTTTGCACTGGGTTGTGTAACCCTGTGTGTAAACATCAGGCGTAATATGCACCTCCTCAGGGTCAGCGGCAGGGCAGGACAGGGCTTCTGTGGAGCTGAGGTCAGCTCAGGGTGACAGGTGTGACCAGTGTCTCATCTGCAGAGCGGTGGGGAGGGTCTGTCTGGGGATCTCACTCACTTCAAATGATTGGTGCCCTCAGGTCTGTGCCAACCTGGGAAATATTCCACAGATGGTTTTGCACCTTGCCAGCTCTGTGCCCTGGGCACATTCCAGCCTGAAGCCGGCCGTACTTCCTGCTTCCCCTGTGGAGGAGGCCTCTCTACCAAACACCTGGGAGCCACTTCCTTCCAAGACTGTGAAACCAGAGGTGAGGACTTGCCAGCCTTCTTTTTCCAGAACTGAATTTCCCTTCTAAGAACCCTGGGAGTCTGGTAAAACTGTGATCAAGCCAGGGCTGGAGGTGCCTGGTGTGCCGCCCCACTGGTGGGGAGGTCAGGTCCCCAGCACCATCGGCCAGGTCGGAAGTGCAGGGAGCAAAGAACTCCCTAGAATTGGTCTCCCCTAGCCACCTTGGCCCCTTCAGGCAGAGCTAGCTGGAGAGGTGATCAGGGAGATATGAGCAGGTTTTGTATAGAGGCTCCCTCTGTGCCTTCCTTCCAGGCCTCCTTTATCTCAGCTCCCTTACCTAGAGCTCCCCCTGCAGGACAGGCCCCACCCCTGCTCCAGAGCACCACTCTTGCTGCCTTGCGGGTACCCAGCTGTAAATGCAGTTTCATTGTCCTGCACCCCTCAATACTTACCAGTTGCTGCATGAAGACTGGAGTTGGGTTCATTTATGCCTGACTCTGCATGGACCATAAATTCTCTGAAGATACACTCATAATTTGTTCCCTTTGTATTTTTCTGTGTCATGAGTCACAAGTCTGATCAGAGCTGGCTATTTAGGGAATTAAGTGTTGATTAGCCCCAGGAAAGCACTACTTCATTTGGACATAAAAATTAATTTCATGAAGTGTGAAAACTTTTGCATTGTGGTAGATGGAAATACAGTCTTTTCTTTCATTTCTTTGCACCCACAGTTCAATGTTCTCCTGGACATTTCTACAACACTACCATTCACCGATGTATTCGTTGCCCAGCAGGAACTTACCAGCCTGAATTTGGAAAAAATAACTGTGTTTCCTGCCCAGGAAATACTACAACTGACTTTGATGGTTCCACAAACATAACCCAGTGTAAAAGTAGGTCTTTCTTTAAGACTCTTCACCGTCTTGATTTAGAGGCGCAGTGTCTGGGTCCACCTGGCGGGGGAGGGGAAGACATGGTGGATGGGGTCCCAGCTCCATTTAGAACCATGCAGACATTGTTAGCCCAGCTCTGCAGATCAGTGCTGTAGGAGCATAGGGCTTGACCCCTAGCTACTCACATTTATTGATCCTGGCTGCTTTTCCAGGCTCATTCACAGGTTTTGCTTGTCTTCATTTTCTCCTGGGGCAAAATTTCAGTTCAACCCCGTTCAGCAAGCATTGCTTAAAGACTTGTTGTATGTCAGGCTGCGAGGCACTCCAAATAGAATAAGCCTCTGGTTCTGCAGGGAGCATGGGATGTAGAATTTCAGAGGAAGGAGTAGTCTACTTTGGAGAAATGAAAAGATTTTGATGGGGGTGGGGTGGGGGGGTGGAAAGGATGCGGGAGGAGGGAGAAAGAGCTCTACACTCTCCAGAGTAGCCAGGGGGCCAGAGGACCACAGACTCAGAAAAGTGAAAGGCTTTTGGGGAAGAGAGCCCTGAACCTATAGGATTTGTGGAAAGAATCTAAAGCAGACCAGAAAGGGAAAGCATGATACCATGCTAAGGAGTTGGATCTGTCTTCTATGGGAATGCGGACGCATGTCATTCAAGGGCTTGCTTTGTATGTGTGTGTTTTAAAACAGTATGTAACATTTTAAAATTATTTTTAAAATTTTTTAAAAATTTTACATCATTGTTCATTTTTAAACAATATTTGGTTCCCCCCACCCCCTCAGGTGTAGTCCCTATAGAGTTTCCTTCACCAATGCGCCTATGCACCATCACCTCAGTCCCCTGTGCTCCTCCCTCTCTCCCTCGATCCCTCTCCCTCTTCCTCCCCTGCAGGATGTCTCTGATTTATATCTGTCTGGTTTTGCTTTGCTGTGTTTTGTACCATTATTTTTTTTTACACTGATATTTTATTTGGTTCCCCTATATTCCTACTATAAGTGAAACCATCCAATATTTTTCTTTTTCCTTCTGGCTTATTTCACTGAGCATAATTCCTTCCTAGCTCCATCCACATTGTTGTGAATGGCATGAGTTTATCTTTTTTGATTGCGGAATAATATTCCATTGTGTATATATGCCACATCTGCCTATCCAGTCATCTATTTTTGGGCATTTGGGTTGTTTCCAGGTTTTATCTATTGTAAATAGTGCTGCAATCAACATTGGTGTACAGGTGTTCTTTTGGATCAATGTTTCTGCATCCTTTGGGTAGATCCCTAGGAGTGGAATTGCTGGGTCATATGGTAGCTCCATTTTTAGTAGACTGAGGAACCTCCAGACAGCTTTCCATAGTGGTTGGACCAGTCTGCACTGCCACCAGCAATGCAGGAGAGTTCCTTTTCCACCACATCCTCGCCAACATTTATTATTGCTAGTTTTTTTGATATGTGCCATTCTTACTGGTGTAAGGTGGTATGTCAATGAGGTTTCGATTTGCATTTCCCTAATTATAAGGGATGTTGACCATTTTTTCATATACCTGTTGGCCATTTGCATTTCATCTTTGAAGAAATGTTTTTTAAGTTCTTCTGCCCATTTCTTGACTGGATAAAACTGTATGTAACATTTTTTGGTAATGTCCAAAACCAAATTTCAGCTAATTCTGTATCATTAAGATGGAAATCTAGAGGAGCATGGAGGCCTCCCCAAGCTGCAGGAGTTTGGGATCAAAGGAGGCAATGAATCACTTAAATTTTATCTTTAGAAGGTTGTCTAGTTTTCTTCTATACCAGTGAAGGATATTTAGCAACATCCTCACAAATTAAGCATCTTCTTTCTTCTTGAATACTTGCCATAATAAGAAGCTGGGTAACTTTTCCCATAGCCTCATCTGTTGGTAGATTAGCCTTGGGGAAGTTCACAGTGCGAGAAGATTCGATGTCCTTTTCCCCTCAACCCACTCTGATCCTTGTTTGGTTCTTAGGAGCCACATGGCAGCTCCTCAGGTTGGAAGGCAGTTTTTTCAACTCCCCCCTTTTCTTCCAAGAATAAAAACCTTTCTTTTTCTGCCATGAATAATAAATCTCAGTTACAATTAGAGAAGGCAAAGGTAATCCCTTTAAAATCTGCTCTTGAACAGGTTCACCTGAGTTTTAATAAGCTCCTTGAAAGCAAGGACTGTGTATTCTCATTTCTGAGCTCCCAGAGCTTTTGATAACGTATGTTGGATGGATGGAGATTTGATGAGTGAAGATATGACTGAGGTGCAGCGTGTGTGTGCATGTGTGCACATGAGTACAAATAGTTATGAAAACTCTTTGCCTCTGATGTCAGAGGTAAGTATCCATTTTGCCCTGTGCTGATTGATAACTCATTGGGAATTCTCTTCCACACTTAAAACTCAAATGTGATCTGAAGCAGAAAGAAAAGAGAATGGGGCCTCCCCTGGTGGCGCAGCCGTTGAGCGCTGGGTTGCGAAGCTGCCCGCAGCCTCTGCAGCGCTGGTTCGATCCCCGGCTGCTCCCAGACCACTGGAGGAGGGTCCCACATGGCGCGCAGACCTCTCCTGCCGCCCGCTGCTCCCCTCAGCAGTGTACTTTGGTCCTTCTGCCTGTTCTGCTCCCCGCTCTGGCTCTGGTGAATTCTCTCACCCTCCCGCGCTTCTGACTGTCCCCAGTGCTTGTATAAATAAATAAAAAAAAAATTAAAAAAAAAAAAAGCGAATGACTGTAACTGCCATGTCTTCTTCCAGCATCTTCATTGATCTGCTAGCTGTGTTTTCTCCCTATTTTTTTTTAATATTTATTTATTTTTGTACAATAACTGGGGTATAGGCCAGAGTTGCGGGATGGTGAGAGGATTCACCAGAGACAGAGTGGGGAGCAGAATAGGCAGACAGACTGAAAACGCTGCTGAGGGGAGCAGTGGGCGAGACAGGAGAGGTCTGCTGCACCATGTGGATATCTCCTGGCTGGCTGGGAATCAAACCCACGCAGCAGAGGCTGCAAACAGCTTCACAGTGCTGCGTTCAACCTGCTGCGCCACTGGGGAGGCCCATTTTCTCCCTATTTTGACAGATCTAGAAGTTCTGTGTGATGAGTTCCTTTTATGCTTTGTAAACAAGTGTAAGGGCAGGAAGGACACTGAGCAGGTTTTCTGATCCAGCAGACTGGGTAAAGGAGGAGTCCTGGAGCCCTCAGTGGCTTTTGCAGGCTTTTATTGGGATTTACCAGGTACATGGCAGGTAGAGGTGCTGGGCTGGCAGGCCTCCCGGCCCCCAGCAAATCTTCACTCTATCTGGGCTCTTTGACCTTCTCCCGCGTTCTATCTGCTTCTCTCTGCTTATGCTTCTCTGCTTCTGCTGGCATCCCCATGTTGCCACCCTTAAAAGCCCAGTCTTAGCCCAGGTGAATCACATCTACCTGTGCCCACACCCTACTCCAGGTGACCGCCATCAGGCATGAATTAGGGACCACAAGTTTCTGTCATTTATCCTAATGGTGGGAGGGCAGAAAAGCCTGATATTTTTTATCTTACCCTACAACAAGATATTGAAAACTAAAGTTGTCCTTTTGTTCACTGACACCTGCCCCTGATCTTGTGTTCTTTTAAGTTAATGAGAAAATAGTGCCTGGGACTAAGACGAGTGGGCTCTGTGTGGGAAGTAATGTAATTTGGCTCCCGGTGTGGGCTCTGGGCTTTGCAGGACAAACCCCTGGATGGTGTCATTTCCAGGCCCCATTCCTCGATGCTAATGTGTCCTCCTCAGCCATGCTGGCAGTGGCCAGGGTAGAGGGACAATGGTCTGTGCTTTCCTAACTCGTGGCATTCCTCTCCTAGACAGAAGATGTGGAGGGGAGCTGGGAGATTTCACAGGCTACATCGAATCCCCAAACTACCCAGGAAATTACCCAGCCAACACTGAATGTACATGGACCATCAACCCACCCCCCAAGCGCCGCATCTTGATTGTGGTCCCTGAGATCTTCCTGCCAGTGGAGGACGACTGTGGGGACTACCTGGTGATGCGGAAAACCTGTGTGTGTCACCCCTCTACTCCTCACCCCTTCTAAGCCTGAGAGCATACTCCCCAACTTTTAATGTCAGAAGCAGGCCTATCTTGTCACCTCTGTATTAGAACAGTTAAACACCAGCTTATTGAGTTTTCAAAAAAACAAAATTTAGACTAAAACCACATTGAGATGAACCCTGGAGGTAGAGCTCAGACTTTCCCTCGGTGCTCACTGGGGACCCTTTTCTACAGGGACACAGAGTGGTGATGCTCACGCAGGGCTGGCCCCCTTGTCCTGGGAAACAACCCATGGCTTGGGGACTTATCAAGGCCGCAGACACGGTCCCAGCCAGGCAGGACGCTCTTCCTATCCTGACCCCATGACTCAGGGTCCATAAAGGGATGCTGCCAGCAACACACTTAGAGGCAGTGTAGTGAGTGGACTCTACAGCCAGACTAGTGCCTCTGAATCCCAGCTCTGCCTCTTATTAGTTTTGTGGGCATACAGTCTGGATTTTTCTGTGCGTCAGTGTCCTTGTCTTTAAATTAGGGATAATAGATGCTTCCCCATAGGGTTATAGTGAGGAATAAATGAGCTCATACTTAGAATACTATGTGTTTGCCATTCCTATTGGTGGGTACAGTGTCTGAAATCACTGGTGTGGATTTGAGTCCTGACTCTTCCACATACTGGCTGTGACCCTGGGCAAGTACTTAAACTCTATAAATGAGGTAATAACTAAACCAAATTTCTATGGTTTTTGAAGGGTTAAGTGAGATAAGATCCACAAAGTGCTTACCACACTGCCTGGTCTGAGGAAGCATGCAGTAAATTGTTGATTATCACTAGATTATAGCAGGTCAGCTCTGGAATCTGCAGGCTCGTCCCTCAGCCCCTGCACTGAGTGCTGCAGGCTGGGCTGCAGCTGTTGGCCAAGCCATGGGCCTTTCAGGCTTTGCTTTCCCTCAGGGCCCACCCCACCAGCTGCATCTACTTGATTTCCAGGACATTTGGCCTTTTAAGGCTCAGCTGAACCTGAAGAGCTATTGAACATAATTTGTTTCATGGTGTTTGAAAAGATGCGTGAGCGTGGTGTTTCCCCTGCCAGAAAAGATGTGTGAGTGTTGTCTACCTGTTTAGCAATGAATCTTGAATCCCACCCCACCCCTCAACTTCCCTTGGCAGCTTCATCTAATTCTGTGACAACATATGAAACATGCCAGACCTACGAACGACCCATTGCCTTCACCTCCAGATCCAAGAAACTGTGGATTCAGTTTAAGTCCAACGAAGGGAACAGTGCCCGAGGGTTCCAGGTTCCCTACGTGACGTATGATGGTAAGCTCTGTGAAGCTCAGACTGCCGCCTGTGGCAGGAGCTTCTCTGCTTTGAACAGAACCAACTTCTGAGCCAGCTGGTGGATTGCTGACAAGCACACATGCTTAGAAAGGCAGCCAGGGTAAGGAGAAAGGCCATTGCTGACTCACAAGTGCCAAATTTTAAAGAGGCATTTGGGGATACTGACTACGTGGATGAAAAGATCTTTTAGAAAATAAAAGTGAGCATAGCTTGGTGGTAAGAACAGGGATGTCAGCCAGCCTGGTATAATGTCTTCTGTGGCCTTGTTTGTGTTACTTACCATCTCTGAACCTCATGTTCTTAGTGTGTAAATAAGGATGATCATTAGACTTAATTTGAGAGTTTAATGGGATAATCCATAAAGGACCTGGTATAGTGCCTGCACTTAGTAGTTCTGAGCAGATTTAACTTATTATTGTGGCTTCATTATAAAGAATCATGAGGAAGGGAAAAACGATCTGGTACTATCTATGCCACTAACTTGCTGTGTGATTTGGGCAAATTAGACGAACTTCTCTGGTTTCTTTTCTTATTATTGCTAAATGAAGCAGTGGCCTGTCTGAGCCCTAGGTGGTTTCTCAGCTCTGAGACTTGGTCAACAAACATTTGCTAGGAATACTAAATGAACTGGATCTGGTCCTAGAAGACCTCATAATTTAGTGGAAGAGTCATCTGTTTATTCATGAAGTTCTTCATTCATCCACCCAGCCAACAAATATTTAATGAGAATGTACTCTGCCAGACTTTGGGTGAGGTGCTAGAGACAGTGTGGTCAGAGTACAAATTGTCATGGATACTAGAACAAGCCATGAACAAAGCACTGTGTGAGCACAGAAAGGGCAGCAATTACATCTTCATGGGTTTTGGGGAAAAATAAAGTCTCAAGATATTTGGGTCTTCAAAGAAGATATAACTTTTCTTATAAAAGGGAGGAGGAACATTTAGAAAGAGGGAATGATGCAGGGAATGATGCAAGGAACCCTCCTTGTTGGGAGGGTTCATGGGGCTTAGAGTGAAGGATGAGCCTACTGGTAAGGCTAGACTCTGAAGAGCCTTGAGTGCTGAGCTCAGGAGGGTAGGCTGAGGCATTTGGAGACACTGGCTGCAGGGATGAAAAGGCCATTTGAGGTTTCTAGGCTGGTAAGTGCCAAAAGTAGATGTTCTGGAAAGACAATATTTTATGGATTTCCTAAACATAGTTAATATAGTATATTTCTAACATGTGACAAATATGAGGCTTATCTTTATCAGATCAGGCCACTCAGGCTTAGTGATTTAAGTAACTGGCTCAAGGTCACAGCAGGACAAGATTGCAGGGCTAGGATTGGCCTGGGTCTTTGGCCCAGGTCTTACCTACAACACTTGACTGTTTTTCTCATGACAGTAGGAGCAAGTGAGGAGACATAGTCATTTGTAAAAGTAGAGGAACTGTTTTTTTAAAAGACAGGGGTTTGGAAGCATTTGGTGGAGGAGTAAATAGTTCTCTCTTACAGCACAGCAAATGACAGAAACTGGCATCCCTAATGGTAAAAGTCCCATTACCAAAAAAAACAAATTCTCTGAGGTAGACACTTTGCAGTAGATGAACTCAAGATAAAAATCTTATACACTTATTCATACTTTATATTCTTTAATCACTAAGATTAAAGAATAAGAAACACTGCATGAGTATACTAGCAATATTGTACATGTATTAAATCAGTAATTATGAGCATTTTATACTATTAGTTTCCATTATTATCCTTGACCAGGAGAAACTTTTTAAGATCTCCTCCCATACCATTTCAATGATATTCTTCTGATTTGTTTGGTTTTGTTAAACATGATTTGCATACAAAGAAGGATTTTTTTCTGTCTGGAAGTTGGAAAAGGTTATGATTTACATATGATTTGAATTATTATTGTAGGAAATTATGACTATAGGAAATAGGATGGACTTTGAAAGGGGGGTTACATTTAGGGAGGGCTAACATTGTGTGCACTGCATTAAATGTTATGTCAGGCAAAAAAATATTAACAAGAAAATGAACATAATTTCTTTCCCTTCACAACCTCCCAATTTCTCCTTCCCTCAACCCCATTCAACAAAAGGGTGGTGGGTAAGAAGCTTGATTATTAATATTGTTTGACACAATATATGGACAGAGAGAAACACAGGGAGAAAGAGAGAAGGGAGAACAGTGGAGAGGGAGAGAAAAGTCTGGGTGAGCTACTGGGAAGTGAGCAGTGAGTACAGACAGAAGAGATGAGAATCAAATGCTGAGCATGGAGTCCTCCTATGGTAAGTGGCCTGGGAGAGAAGGGAAAAAAGCAAAGGAGTCTTCAAGGCAACAACCAGTAGGGTACGAGGGAAATGGAAGAGTGTATTATACTGGAAGCTGAGCAAAGAATTGGAGCAAGCAAAAGGGGTGGCCAACCAGGTCCAATCATAATGAGGTATCAAGTAAGATGAGGATGAAAGTTGACATTTGGGACTTAACACCATGAAGGTCACTGGTGACCTTGACCAGCAGTTTTGAAGGAGTGTTGGGGCCAAAGCTGACTGGACTAGGCTTAGAAGAGAAAGAAGAATCAGAGACAGTAAATGTTAATCATTCTTTCAAAGTTTTTGCTACAAAGGGAAGCAGGGATTTGGAATGGGGGATGGAAAGAGAAATCAAATCCAGAGAGGGATGTTTTTCTTTTTGGACCAGAGACAGCATGTTTGTATGCTGATGGGAAAGACCAATGGAGAGAGAACATTTCATCATGTAGGACAGAAAGGACAGAATTATAGAAAGTGCCATTTATTGTTGGGCAGAGTAGTGGGATGGGCCTTGACTAGTTAGTTGTACAGAGGGTTCAAGTGAGAACTCAGGGAACAGGAAAGATGGCTGTGATGCTGGTAGGTGAGGGTATGTGATGGTGGATTCTGTGGAGGTTTTCTTCTGATTCCTTTCCCAGCATCAGAGTGATCCTGGGTCTGACAGCAACTGAGGGGGCATTTCTTAGAACCTTAATAAACAATGAGAATGAATTTGGAAATAATAGTCCATACATATACAAAATATGTCCTTTCTTCCAATAGAGGACTACCAGGAACTCATTGAAGACATAGTTCGAGATGGCAGGCTCTATGCATCTGAGAACCATCAGGAAATACTTAAAGTGAGTACATGCCTAACCTGCAGATGGCAGTTGACCACAGAGCTCCTGAGCACCATGGGGAGGCTTCCTCTTGCTCTATATTGCCACCTTTCAGACATTGAGCCTGCTCTGGCCTAAGATCAATTTTATATCTTCTCCAGATTTTTTTTTTAAATCCATCTGACTATCTTTAGTGCTTCAAATGAAGTTGTATAATTTAAATACTTTTTTCATTTTAATTTTTGGAACTATGTGGAGGAGCAGCAGGAAATGTGCTTGTCATAAACCCAAGTCAGCAGCATATAATGTTTTCATGTTCCTCTGTAAATACTTGAAGATCCTTGGCTCCTGTTTATCCTTCAAGTCCAAAGTTCACCAAATTTTAGCTACTTGGAAGTAATCATCAATAATCACTTACAGGGGGGCCTCCCTGGTGGCGCAGCGGTTGAGCGCTGGGTTGCGAAGCTGCCCGCAGCCTCTGCGGCACCCGTTCGATCCCCAGCTGCTCCCCGGCCACCGGAGGAGGGTCCCACATGGTGTGCAGACCTCTCCTGCCGCCTGCTGCTCCCCTCAGCAGTGTACTTCGGTCCTTCTGCCTGCTCTGCTCCCTGCTCTGGCTCTGGTGAATTCTCTCACCCTCCCACGCTTGCTGACGGTACCCAGTGCATGTATAAACAAAACAAACAAATAATAAATAAATAAATAAATAAATAAAACATGCCTCTTAAAAAAAAAAAAAAAATCACTTACAGGGGCTTCCCCGGTAGTGCAATGGGTTAAGCGCTGTGTTATGAAGCTGTCGCAGCCTCTGCAGTGTGGGTTCCATTCCCGGCCAGCCAGGGAGACATGGCGTGGCAGACCTCTCCTGCCTTGCCCACTGCTCCCCTCAGCAGTGCTTTCAGTCCATCTGCCTGTTCTGCTCCCCGCTCTGTCTCTGGTGAATCCTCTCACCCTCCTGCGACTCTGGCCTATACCCCAGCTCTTGTATAAATAAATAAATCTTTAAAAAAAATCACTTATAGAAAAAATATAGGGAAACCAAACATAGGGTAAAAAAAAAAAAGACAAACCTTGTAGGCAACTATAGATCTGAGACTTAAAGCTGGGGATGGGGAGGAAATGGGATCAAAACAGGGTGGTAAGAGCACAAGGGACCATGGTATTTGCTCACAGGTGATGTGGTGGTGAGATATTTATGGTGACTACACCTGAGGGGAGAAATCAAATACTGTAAAAATATGAACAACATGTAAAAAAATCTAAAAATTAAAAAAAGAGAAGTAATCATCAATAAACACTTGTGTCAACTAGCCCAACGAAGAGTCCCCAATCCCGGTGTGTTATCTCTAGTTGAGAAAAAACAAGTTTTCTCATATATTAAATTTTCCCCTTTAAAAGTAATACATGCTTATTATAGGTAATTAGGAAAAATAAAATTTTGGAAAGAAGATAAAATTCAGAGGAAACAATTTTCACAGTCTTTTCCAGCTAATTAACCTGTAGTCTAATGTTGGTCATTATAGTTCTAGTGACATAATGTCAGAATGTTTAAATATTCTAGGCCAGTAACAAGCATTCTGTTCTTTTTAGGATAAGAAACTGATCAAGGCTCTGTTTGATGTCCTGGCTCACCCCCAGAACTATTTCAAGTATACAGCCCAGGAGTCACGGGAGATGTTTCCAAGATCCTTTATTCGATTGCTACGCTCCAAAGTGTCCAGGTTTTTAAGGCCTTACAAATGAGTCTGCCCACATGCCACGCTGTACAGTGCTCAGCCCAGGGGCTGGTGGGACACAGCGTCTGCTTCTGCAGCCTACATAGTTGGACATCGCTGCCTCCAGTAGCAGTGACTCGTTAAGAGTTCAGTTTTTATAAATAATACAGATATTTTGGTAAATTGAACTTGGTTTTTCTTTCCCAGCATTGTGGATAGGCACAGAGATGGCTTTGAGTTGCACCTGCTTCTCACTGCTGTGGGCAGATGTGTTGGACACATCCAGGGCAGGCTGAACAGCACTTCAGTCAGTTCAGGTGAGACTCACCTGTCCGTGGTCCTTACTCCTCCTCAAGGGGTCTGGGATGGAAAGGGGGCCACAAAAGGGGACTGCCTTGTCTGAAACTTTAGCTTCCTCCAGCCCAGACTCTCCCTAAGGGTGCCCTCTGCACTCAGTGGGAACTCTGACTAGGCAGAGTTGTGAGGAGGGAGGCAGACAGGGAGAACAGCCCCTCCTGGTTCCTTTGACCCACCTGAGACCTGGGAGGACTCTAGTCTCCAGTTTTCTCCTACCTCTGTGACCTAAGTTTGATCTCAGGAGTTTCAGCTCTAAGCAGTGATAAATAACAAACACTTAAATCAGAAAGAACTAGAAACGAAAAGATAAAAACTAGGCACTTCTGCAGATATAACAACATAGACCTAGTGACAGCCTTCTACATTGCCAACTTCTACCTTGTCGTGAGTACCTGGAGCCAGTGTGGTGTCCTCGGCTGTGTCTTTAGACACTGTGCTGGGCACTGTGTTAGGGCTTGGAGTTCAATCAGGTGTGGATGGAATCACCCAGGTCATGAAAAGGAGACTCACAAATCTCAAGTCGGTACTGCCAAGTGTCCTATTGGGCTTCCCCTAGCAGGGTGCCCCAGGTGCAGACTGCAGACCTGGGGTCATGTTTGCCTCTACCCCCGCCCCCTGCACCCCTTCTCCCTCATCCTGCACCCAACTCCCCCTCCAGCCAGAAAAGTCAGAGGCTGACTCAGCTCCAAGGGCCTAGATGGCACTGCTGGCATGAATAACATGCCAGCCATACCCCAGAGCAGCCGCACAACCCCAAAGTCTTCTCACTTTTGGTTTGCACGGTGGGGCCTCACAATCATTTTCTCCCATAGGAACTTGAATTTTCAGTGTTACCAAATTTAATTTTTAAAAAATTCATAGGGAAAAAAATCTCATTAAAGTGAATAAAAGAGTCCTATCAAACAAGATGTCATTTCCCTAGAGATTAGGCTAACTCCATTTAGTATTCTGTTATTTTAGTAAACTAAATTATGTACAGAGCTACACAATTCTCTTTAAAAAAAATTCTACAAATATTTTTGAAGAAAACAAAGACTATTTCATTACTGTGAACTTACTTTTCACCTCAATGGTTGTTTTCTTTTAAATATGTTAATAACATTGTCTTTTTTCAAAAGCCTTAATCAAACTTCTTTTTTATTTGGATGGGTTCTAAATACCCATTATCAAATTTCTCTTTAAAAATGTGAACATCTTCAAATTATTTAAAATAAGCACATGTATTTGTTACTGGAACTTGGCCTGTTATTTTGAAGTCTAAGTGTATGATGAAAACTCTAATTTAGCCTGAATTAGTGACCAGACCAATGTGGAGATGGGGCAGGTACACTGCACCACCCTGTCCCAGCACATTTTTAGTCTCTTTCTATTCACCACTGCTGATTTCACCGAAAGGCTAGGAATGCAAACACAGGGGAAGTAGGCTGCAAAAACCTGGTCTCAGTGCCACATTCTCCAGGAGCAGGCCAGTGCATCAGAGCTGTGTCCCTAATTCAAGCCCCAGCCTCTAAGGCCTTCCTGGAACTTCCTCCCTCTACCTACCATCCATCCTGTTGGAAGGCTGGCTGGCTGGGGCTACTGTGACTACCTGCTAAATAAATACATATGGAACACCTGCTGTGTGCCAGGCACTGTTCTAGGTTCTCAGGATACACAGTTATGAGACAGACAAGGTCCCTGCTCTCATGGAGCTGATATTTTAGAAGGAGGAGACAGACCAAGAGCAAATAACAACCCAGAAAGTATCAGCTAGTGGTAAGTGTCATATTATAAAGTAAAACAAGTTAATGTAACAGATGGCTGCATGGCTGCTTTAGGATTGTGGATAGTGAATGGCCTCTCTGGAAAAGTGACCTTTCAAATGAAAACTAAATGGTAAGAAGGAACCAGCCTTGGACAAAATAGGGACAGAGAATTCTAAATAAAGGAAAGCCTCATGCAAAGGCCGCCAGGCAGGAACAAAAGGTGTGTGTATCACAGTTGAGAGAAGGCAAATAGTAGGAGATGAGGCCAGGAAACTGGACATGGGCCAGAGCACATCAGTGTTGGAATCCAGAATAGGAGGTTGATTTGATTCTAAATATATTGTGAAACTTTTGCGGGGAGGTTAAGCAGAAGGTGGGATGATGTGATTTATGTTTTTAAAAGATAGCTCTGGTTACTATAAAAAGAATGGATTTTAGGAAGCCAGGCATGGAAGCAGAGAGCAGTTAACAGCTATTACGACCAGTCACACCATCATCCAAGTGGGAGGTGGGGTTCAGGGGGATCATAGTGGATATGAGAGGGGGTTTGGGGACATGTTTGGTGGGGAGAGTCAACAGAACTTGCTAATGAGAAATGAGTGGAAGAGGAAGGGAAAGACAGTAACTGAAGATGACTGCTGGTTGCCTGAGCAAATAGCAGATGGAGAAGACTGCAGGGGCAGGTTGGAGATGTGTGACAGTTTTATTTTATTTTATTTTTTTGCTGGAACAAAAGTTATATTATTGCTCTAAACCTTTGTAATTATGTTTGTCTAGGATCCTTACTCTCTTGGTCATTTTATTTATTTTTTTATATTTATTATTTTTTAAATTTTTACATCATTGTTCATTCTTTAACAATATTTGCTTCCCCCCCACCCCCTCAGGTGTAGTCCCCATAGAGTTTCCTTCACCAAGGCACCCGTGCACCATCACGTCAGTCCCCTGTGCTCCTCCTTCCCTCCCTCTGATCCCTCTCCCTCCTCCTCCCCTGCAGGATGTCTCTGGTTTATAATTGTCCGTTTTTGCTTTGTTGTGTTTGTACTGTTACTATTTTTTTACACTGATGTCTTACTGGGTTCCCCTATACTCCTGCTATAAGTGAAACCATCCGATATTTTTCTTTTTCCTTCTGGCTTATTTCACTGAGCATAATTCCTTTTAGCTCCATCCACATTGCTGCGAATGGCATGAGTTTACCTTTTTTTTTTTTTTAAAACATGTCCACAATTCTTTGATGCTTCCATGGGGAGTTGGGGGTCTCTCCTCACTCCCATTGAATCTGGGCTCTGTGACTGCTTGATCAATATTATATGGGAAAAGTAACAATTTACTAGTTTCTAAGTCCAAGATTTAAGGCACTGGCAATTTCCACTTCCTTTTCTTGTGAAATGCACACTGGAAACTCAGTCACCAAGCCTTGAGGAAGCCATAACAGCTTGTGGAAGGCTATGTGGAGAGAAACCAAGGCCCCCGCCCACAGCCCAGCTGAGCTCCCAGGTGGCAGCTAGTAATACCTGCCAGCTATGTGAGTGAGCCATTTTGGGAATGTTCTCCTGCCCCAAATCAAGCTGCCCCAGCTTCACAAAGCAGTCCCCACTGAGCAGTGTCAAAATTACAGACTTGTGAGCAAAATTCAATGACTGTTGTTGTTTTAAGTCAGTAGGTTTTGAGGTAGTTTCTTATGTAATAACTAGAGACTGGAAAACACCAGGAGTTCAACTTGGCCATTCTAAGTATGAGATGACAATTAAATATCATAATGGAGAGTTCAAATAGGCAACTGGTTGTAAGAGAGATCAGTGCTAAAATAAAATTTTTAATGCCACAGAATATAGACCTCAGTTGAGGTCTACTAGGGAAAGAAAGCAGATAAAAGGGCAGGAAGCTCTGAATTCTGAGGTTCCCTGAAAGGGTGTAGGAACCAGGACCAGGAGCTGCTTATTGAGAAAACAGAAAGAGGACAGAGCTGAATTCCACCTTTTCTCCAAGATAGCTAGTTCTGGGGGCAAATCTGAGTGGGAGTAAAATCGCACAAGTCCTTCCTTCCAGCTGTGGATATTGTTCTTGAGCCATTCACTGAAGCTACGCTGATGGATTTAGCAACATGTCCCTTGAGTTTCCAGTGCTAATAAAAGAGTGTTTGCCTTTTCACACTAACAGATGATTATCTTCTCTTTGGAAAATTGCTTCCTCTGAATCATTCTCTGAGCTGTTAAGTGTGTCGTCTGTAGGTACTCATTGGATTTAGGTTGACAGGTGATTTTAAAATTGTCATGTGGTAACTCGGGAAAGGCAACAGCTGTGCCTCACAAAGCCAGGACTCACTGGCCCTCAGGCAGATCTTTGTTGGAAGATGCACCAGGGCTGTTGCTCGCTGCAGACTGCAGCTGCCGCTGAGGCCTATGCACTGGGATCCCAAGGGCCCATGCCAGGCCCAGCCTCTATCTCCTACTCAGTCCAGAAGAGCTGCCTCTTCCTAGGACTGTCAGCTTCTATGCTTCCTTTTGTGTAGCAGGGTGGGTGGTGAGAATCTCACCCAATTATTGAGTAACCCTTAGCCAGTATTGGGAGGTTAATGGATTAGGTGAGGCTGGAGTAAAGTGGTTCCTCATCAGGTGGACAGAGCCTTGTTATCTGTGGCCTTCTTGCTAGGAAGACATAAGCTGCCTTGGAATCTAGGTCCTGGGCTTGGTCAGTGGAAGCCTATCCACAGGAAATTTGAAGACTTGGTGAGGCTTCCTTTTCTGTGATATCTTCTACTTTAGCGGCTTATGAACCCAGGTCAGGGGTCTCCTGAATATTTATGGTATTCTACTTCTTTCTCCCTTGTGGGGGGGAGGGGTCCTGATCAGTCTGCAGAAGACCATCCTCCTGGATTTGATGGCCCATCAAGGCGGCTCCTGTGATCAACAGGCACAGAGATGTAACTACTCGGCAGTGATCACTTTCCAGAGAACATAAAACTCAAAATATGGTAGTCACCCTTATCTTTGGGGGGTATATTCTAAGACCCCCAGAAGATGCTTGAAGTCATAGATAATGCCAAAGCCTAGAAATACTATGATTAATTTATAAATGGGGCACAGTAAGAGATTAACAATAATAATAAGATAGAACAATTAATTATAACAACATACTGTGATAAAAGTTATATGAATGTGGTATCTCTCAAAATAGCTTATTGTACATAATGGTGTTGGACAGTGGTTGACCACAGGTAACTGAAACCGCAGGAAGTAAAAGCACAGATGAGGGGGGACTTCTGAAGACTTAGAAAATGAAACCACACTAATTCACAGGCAGGTTGCTTTCACTAAATAAAAGGGATGCAAATTAATCCACTTACAGCAAGTAATGACAGTAACTCAGCATTGGTTGTCAGAGTATCTCAGTAGGGGAATGTGACTACAGACCTTACTTATAAATAAGTATAACATAATAGTTTGTCTTGTGTTTGCTCATCCATTCATTTAGGCAATGTATTTATTGAGGGCTTACTAAGTGCTAGAGCTGGTTATACTGTAGTGAGCAAAATGAAGTCTCTGCTCTTATGGAGTTTAGGTTCTAATGGGTAGAGACAGAAAATCAACAAAT